AAAGACAGTTTAGTGAAAAAGTTGATTACTCTACTTACAAGATATATATAGCCAGTGAAAATGCATTTCAAAGTAATTAATTTTTCTTCACACGTTTTGTAATTTTATGAAAGTAAGAAATACTTATTCTGGTGTCTGACTTGAAATTTTCAACAATTAGGAATATAAATACAAGCTGTAAGTACGAATTGAAATTTCTTGTTTTTTTATTTTTTTTATTTTCAAAAACTTAACCGATTAGCCTGTATTTGTGTATCAAATACAGATATAAATCTAGTCAATATGCTGATGGAGCCCATCATAACTTAAGAAAATTTACAGTGCATCCATTTTACCGCTTTTCTAACACCTTTCGTGCCAATAAATTTTTTTCACATTCACTTTGTTCAAAACATTCATGTAAATCGTCAGAATTTAGGATGTTCAATAATCTTGTCACCATCTCATATCGTTATTTCAACTCTAAATTATTTGTACATTTATAAAAATATTAAGAATCATAATTTCAGTTTTTTTAAATGACCACTAATATGAAATTAAAAAGCAACTACATTAGTTTGTCGTTGATTTTTATTATGATTCTTTAAAGATACTATCAGACACAGAATGGTAAACAATATGAGACTCATCCTAAATGTTCATCTATTTCTACACTCACGTTTGTAAAAGAAAAAAAGTGAGGAAAATACAATCAATGACAATTATTCTATAACAATTCAGTAGATTTGCATGTTAAAACAAGAGAAAACATGAATAAAGTAAGATGTAAAAGTTGTAGAATACTACTAGAAGGCTAAAAATGAAGACAACCGAGTTAATGCTACTGATCTTGAGTTACACCACCCAATCTCTCTGACTACACATTACAGTTGTGCTTCATTGCCTAATAGGAAGACTGTGTTTCCCTACAAAACCATAACAAGAGGTTAGTAATTTCATGAACTACTGATGTTGTGACTTGGTTCAGTCAACATAGGCCCTTTCACAATCTTCAAGAAGTGTAGTTCGTAGAAAAGATCAAGGAAACCATGTTTAAGTAAATCAAACGACACAAAAGCAAATTTCGAGAAGAGTTATCAGTTGTAAATGCATTACAATCCCGTAGGAAGTCAGCCACGACCCGGATAGCTCATTGGTAATTTCTCTGACTGTAAAGCTACGTGACACGAGGTTGAATTTGTCGAAGAAAATAAGCTCCTTCAGGATTGCAGTTACACCTTACTGACGAGTGCCAAATAGCGAAACTTATGTTCGTGGTTTCTTGTCAACCATCTCCAGCCACCACCTACCTTACATGATAACGCCTCTTCTTCTCCTCAAAGAACTTTCAGTGTGATACTTTGTTTCATTTTTAGGTTGTTTTACTGACGTTTCGTACATCTCTCAAAAATCCTAACCAGAGAGTGGTTAGCACAAACACCAAATGATCTTAAATTTGTTTCTATTTTTATACATCTATTCAGATATAACGGAACTTTATGCCGAGACTAATACTGTGTTTTACACAGCTGATTCTTTTTAACAATTTAAATATGCCAAGAAAGGTATTCATATTTATAAAGCCATCGTAAAAGAAAAGTTGGTTCCCCACTTACATAACAAATCTTTGCATAAAAAATTTAAAAGTAATCGAAAAGCGAAATTCAAAAGTCACAGTATATTAGCATTATTTTGAAAGGTTCACCATTATCTATGATTTACAGACAATAAGCATTAAACCAGCAATTGACAATCATATTTTCATTTGATCGACAGTTGTAATATCATAGATAAATATTATTTATTTAAACATTAAGTGATAACGATCAATATACATATTAACTTACAAGTTGGGACGTTTTTTTACATTTTTTCCGTGTTTACTTGTTTATCTGTTTAATCTCTTTTCACTTCCTTACTACCGTCGCGTCTTCTTTTTCCCTTTCATTTTTAATGTTTTTCTCGTTTTACCTTATAAATGTTTTTGTCACAAAAAAGATTACCATTCAACCTTTTCTACTTGTATATTTACGGTATGCTAAGTATTCAGGAGGGAGACGGAGAAACATAAAGTATGTATTTGTGTATAATTAACAAATCCCTATCATTACAGACCACAAAATCAGTTATTCATCAACTTTCCAATAAGTATCATGTTACAAAATGAGAAAGAATTATTTTATTGGAAATATGAGCCGACTTAAGCAAAATAACCGTTGGATACCAGGAAACACTGGGGAATCTCTAAAAATCTCTATACTGAAGGTTATCATGTTCTTAATTGTGATTAATTTCCACAGGTGGTTCCAGGAATTCTGATGGAAAGTTGTGACTAGTGGTGTTCAACTGTGTTAGATGTAAGAGTTACCCACCAAAAACAGTGGAATATCACACAAGTTGAATCCTCACACTATTGGGTGACGGTGAGGTGATCTTTAGGTTAAGTGTTTACTGAGAAACCTGAAGATCGTAATTTTAACCAACGGTGGGGTCGCGGAGGTCCACTGCTCAGAAATTCTATGCTAGAACAAAGTATTATTTCAATCTCCTCTGGTTTTAATAGTTTATCCAACATGGTTTGGTTCCTGATCTCACTAGTATTCAACAAACTCCACAAATCCCAACCTTGAAAAAATTATTTGTCTGTCTTTGAACACCTCTATCAGTCATAAAATGGGATGCGACAATGATGAGAATAAAATCCATACATAAAGTGATGTATTTAATTAGAACAATCGTCCTATTTTTGTAGGATGAATAAAATTTTAGTCTGCCATCAAGTTTTTATCTTCTTCCTTATATCTGCGAGTTTTAGCGTTTCTCAATTTATTCCAGAAACTGATTTCACAAAAATAAAAACTGAACGTTTATGATCACGTAACGGTCGTTTCGCCCAAGTATGAAAATCTTCAACGGCATGAATCCATTATCTTACCAAGGTCCAAAACATTCAAGCCCTATATCCAGCTCGCTACTTTGAGACAACTTAGAAAGAATTCAATATTTCACACCTTCAGTTTCAATCAATCGGCGATATTTCTGAAGTATGATCTCGTTCTGCTAATCTTATTTCCGTAAATCTACTGCAGTACAACGTATAAGTGTTGGGTATCAGCTCATTTTCCCAGGAGTTCAGCGCTTTCCACTCCTGAAGAGCCCCACACTAAGACGAAACAGATGTCAAGTGTTTGCTGGTCTTCAGGGGTTGTTTGACTATTGTTGAACCGTAATGTAAACTCTAAAATATTGTTTTAGGCGAATTGTTCTCAGACTATCGTGACATTGGAGTATATGAGAAAATTATTCCCAAAAAGTCTTCACAAAACTACAACAGAAAAATTTCAGTTTTCGTATCATCATAGTTATACCGATGATTTAGAGAAAAATCAGGTTTTCAGTGAATCAAAACAACAGAATAGATTTGAACGCTTTTTCTCACCAATAATAATCACAGTTAGGTATAAGTTAAATGATCAGTTCATAAACGCCTGAATACCTACTGAAAAAATTGATAAATATGCGACTTGCTTCAACAAATCGTGCTTTGAGTTTCAGTGTTACCTAAGTGATATTAACTAGAAAACAAAATCTAAATATCTTTTGTTTAATAATTAATTACCTGGTAATATTGAATAGTTTGTTTTCCGATCCTTAATATTAACAAAATTCGATCAGCTTATGAAACTGGCTCTAATTTGGTGATTAGTCACCGTATGTTAGTTGAACAATATGTCACACAAGACCAGAATGACGTAGTTGTAAAGCCTTTGTACCTAAGTGACAAAGTTTTGAATCCTAGGAAGAATATGTTTCTTTAAGCATTCCAAAAAGTTTTAAATGTCATTCAGTGTCTGTAGAATCGTGACCGAATCGACGTATATAATATCTTTCAGTTATACCCAATTTGTTATATAAACATAGAATCTACGTTAGAAATATTTGGTCTGATTTGAATATTTTCATTCAATATTTTTAAATAACTATAGTATTTTGTTGCAGTAATCTGAAATCACCGTTTATGTTTATCAAGTTAACCACAATACGAAAAAAATGAATTCACTATGTTCTTATGAAGTAAATTATTGGAAAATTAAATCTATATTCATTTATTTCAAACCTACTAACCAACATTTTCATTTGGTAATTCAGATTTCAATTGTATTAGTAATTATTCCCGTGCAGCTCACTAATATTAATATACGCTTAATCTAATAATTAGCACTTAAATCAAAAAGATAAAATAAAATCTCGAAATAAAGATCCTTTTAAATCTTGGAAGCAATTACTTGGAATTATGTCAAAAAATAATTCCATTATGAAATTATTTTATTTAAACTACTATAAAATTAAATAGTTTTTTTATTATTAGGAGTTTACAACTGATCTGTCTTGATCAAGTAAACTTTCTGGAGTTGGACTTTAAATCTACTCAGCTGTGTAAATAAAGCTACTTCCCGATAATATTCCAGGAAAGTGGTTTCACATCAAGTACCAAAGAGAGTAGGAATTCTTACTCACTGATTGTCAGCTTAGTGACATTGTAATAGTAATATTAATAACCATATATATATTTACATGCTTGGATAATTATAAACCTTTTATGTACACCTTTCTGTGAGATTATAGATCAGGACCACATAACTTACTTAAACTTAATTGTTAGTTAGCTGACATGAATAAGCGAACTATTCGGAATGATCTTGAACATGTTAATTTGATAATACTTCATTTCCTCTTATTTAAAAATAAGCTTTGAAATGTATATTTTGAAAAAAAGTTTTTTACCAGTGAATGTATTTGTGCATGAGTATTCATAGATATCCAATCTGAATCAAAGATCACAGTTTTACATATATATTATTGACTTATTGATTATTTCAAATTAAAAATTGAGTCGATATATATATATATATATATATATATATATATATATATATATATATATATATATCAACATTGAAATATCTTATATTTCGTTAGAATAGTTTTAAAGAATACAAAGAAACTTTATTTTTTTTTAAATGCTTTTGAAAGATATTATTTTATTTTATGGAATGTTTATTATACTAATTTTTCGAGAAGGAAATACTTTGAATTACTTATCACAGGAATGTCTTAGTAAATCAGAATGGGGACCATGGCGTTGTCCTGGTATAGGAACAAAATGTACTGCTAATATTGCAACACGTTATAAGTGCATCGGTGGAAATTGTACAAATGATAGTCTATGTGCCAAACTTGAAAATCATACTGTAAGTAGTAAATGTTGGTATTATATATATATATCAATGTAACAGTCAGTACATCACTTAACGAACTAATAATAACGGTGTACTTACTAGTGATTATGATCAAAAATTACTGTTTGATTCAATGATTTATGAACTTGGTCAGTCAAGGATTAACACTATGAAAATGAATGGAGATCGTACTTTATGAAAAATCGACTCAAATCAAATATACAAATCATTGGATTCAGACTCAGTGACCCAATTATAGTGTACTGAGTGACAAATCTCAAATAAAATAAAATAAACATTGTAGACTATGTGATTCCAACTCAATAATATCACGGTCAAAAACCAGAAAATTCCCTGTAAGAATTGACTTCTTTCTCTGGAGGCGTCATGGATGAGCACTGCTGAGGAATGCCATAATGGGACAATAAAGTTATTCATTTCATCATGTCATTCAGAGATTGTCTAGCTCTAATCAGTCCGTTATTTTAAGTGCACATATACAATAACCGTTGATAACTATTTGTAAATGAAAGTTATTCTGTATATTCGTAACAGAATTATTGGGCAGATTTATCCACTTACTTACTTATTTACGCCCATTACCCCCAAGGTACCTCCCACGTACGTGAAACTTTCCACCTCTTCCAAAGTTTCTCCACCAATTGTGATTGGGTTAGTGTTCTCCGTGTTGTGTTCAAGAATCTTACTTTTCCCTTTGTGCACGTTGAGGCCTATTGATGCACAGGCTGCTGATACACTAGTTGTATTCATCTGCATTTGTTCGTGTGTGCGAGATAGAAGGACCACGACATCAACGAAGACAAAATCTTTGAATTGATTTCGAGCTGTCCATTGTATTCCGTACTTCCTGCAAGATGTCGAGGTCTTCATAATCCGGTCAATCACCAGGAGAAAGAGAAAGGCGGAGAGTCTGTCAGCTGTCCTCCATGCACCACGTTGCACTGTAGTCCGTCGTATGAATTCCGGATGATGTTGACGATCGTCTCAGGTACACCATAATATCAAAGAAGGTTCCATAAGGTCCTCCTGTCTACACTGTCAAACGTCTTCTTATAGTCAATGAAGTTGGAATACAGTGACGAGTTCCACTCAACTGATTGTTTGACGATGATCCGTAGTGTCGCGATTTGGTCTGTGCACGATCGATCCTTACGGAATCCGGTCTGTTGATCTCGAAGTTGGGTGTCTACTGAATCCTTCATCCGGTCCACCATCACTCCGTTGAATGCCATTCCCGGTACTGACAGTAGTGTGATGTGTCTGTAGTTCACACATTTGCTCAGATCTCCTTTCTTTGGTAACTTGATGAAGGTGTCCTACATTCCAGTGTGTCTTTGGCACTTGTCCTTCCTCCCAAATCTTCCCGAATAAAACATGGAGCATGTTTGCAGTTACTTCCATATCAGACTTCAGAGCTTCGGCTGGTTTATTGTCAGGTCGTACTGATTTCCCACTCTTCATTTGTCTAATGGCCATCTTGGTTTCTTCGATCGTTGATGGAGTGACATCTATAGGCATGTCTGCGTGCTGCTTCGATGTCCATTGAGTTCAGTGGAGCTGGCCTGTCCAAGGTTTACTTAAAATGTCTTACCCATCTACTCACCTGTTCTTGAATCTCGGTGACTTTCTTGACTTGTTTGTGTTTGACAGATCTCTCTGGTTTACTATATTACCCTATCAGTTTCTTCGTTGTGTCATTTAGTTATTTCATATTTCCTTCTCTTGCAGCTTTCTCCACTGTCGTTGCTAGGTCTCCCACATATTTCTGCTTATCTGTTCTAATGCTCCACTTCACTTGCTTGTTTGCTTCTGTGTATTCAGTCTGTACCTTAGCTTTTTCAGTTCTTGTTCGTCTGTTGTTAATTACTGTCTTCGTGTTCTTCCTTTGTTGAATCTTGTCCAGTCGTTCGACATGTCGAAGTTAGTGCTTCTTTGATCTCTTTCCGATGGTCCTCCATCGTAGTTTCTTCTTCATTCAGTAGATCCTGCAACGTTTGGAACCTGTTGTTGCGAGTTGTCTTGAACTGGTTGAATTTGTTAGTATCTCGAAGGAAGGCTGTATTGAACCTTTGTACTGCTGCTTCCCCAGCAGTTCAGTGTTTCTTTACGTTGTTTCATCTTGGCCACAACCAGGTGTTGATCTGAAGCAAAGTCAGCTCCTCTCCTGATTCTCACGTCTTCCGTTGTCCTTCTGAATTTTTTATTGATACAAATGTGATCTATTTGAATCTCAGTGGTGTGATCCAGTGAGACTCATGTAGCTTTGTGTGTGCGTTCTTGTGTGGGAATATTGTGCCGCCTATAACCAATTTGTTGAATGCACATGGATTTGTAAGTCTCTCTCCATTTTCGTTCCTCTCTCCCAGTCCATGTCGTCCCATGATATCTTCATAACCGTTGTTGTCCATCGCAACTTTGGTGTTTAGGTCAACCATCAGAATTGTCAGGTCCTTTCCCGTGCACTTCACTATGATCGATTGCAGCCTCTGGTAAAACTAATCTTTATCATCGTCATTGCTATCGTTGATGAGTGCATAACATTGGATAAAATTCATCATGATTCCCTCCTTTGTTTTGAATGATGCTTTGATGATCCTGGATCCTTCAGATTCTCCTCCTGTAAACGCTTTACGTGCTTCTTTGGACAGCATTAGAGCAACTCCCTGTGTGTGTGGAGCATTTTGCTCTTCGTGAACGGAGTACATCAGCATCTCTCCTGTACCTAATCTTTTCTGTTCAGCTTGGGTCCAATGGGTTTCGAGTACTGATTCCGAGAACCAACAAGTTTTACCTCCTCATTTCCACAGCTATTTGAATGGTCCTAACGGTCTCCCACATTGTCTAGACGTTTCATGTACCGATATATGTTGTTACTGTGATTGTTAGAAGGGGCATCGGCCTCGTGGATTTCGGCTTTCATCATTAGGCGTTATAATCTTTCCTTTAACTCCCATGACAGAGTTTAAATAGTTTAATTCATTTATTCTGGTAAGCGTCTTTTAGCAAGGTTGTTTTCTACGGGACGATGTTGTCGACCCTACGATCAACCGTCCTCTTTTGTGTGGGCTTGGGACTGGCAGTAGGTCTAAGAGAGCTACAGGTGGAGTTTAAGATTTATCCAAGACGTTCTCTAATAGAGGATATTTAGGGAATTAATACACACGATACATCTAACCGAATCCTGTTGTTAGCATTTCATTCACTTAATTCAGATTCAGAGAGATAAGGATATTTTATCAGACAATTTTAGATAAATTACTGCTTAGTAACTTTATGGTAAGTATCAAAAGAAGTGTTTACAATATTCACTATTTATATATAAGAGGTCGTTTTGTTATTCACAATCAATACGGAGTCTAGCATAAATGTAAGTTGGCTCATGTTGACATACCACATCAGTACAGAGATATGAAATTAACATATGGAGTAGCAAAGGAATCGCAATAGTTATATTACTAATGTTAGTGAGAAAACTTTGACATTGAAGAAGATGGTTCATAATGATGGAATGTAAAAGTTTGTGTGAAGTACTCAAGCAATAAGTTGTCACTTGATTGAAACCAAATAATTAACACTAATAATGCGAACTGATAATCAACAGATATGAATGCAACTCAACCGGTTCTGGTACTCAAGATCCCTAGGTCCCACGGTGTGATTTTAAGCTTTAGACTGCTGAACTGGAAACCAGTGGTGTACATGTTCAACTACAATCAATTCGCGCTATTGCAAAACCACCCTTCATTGTCTTCGATGGGCAAGTACCTCACATCCAATATGGAGGAAGTGCACCAATCATGGTTTTTCACTATGCTTTCAAGAAGTTCTCCTCAGAATTAGTCGCTAGTGAGGACATGATTACTAGTAGTATATGGGGTTTTTTGAAGACTATTTGGTGTAAAGACTACAAGCAGACTGGCTAAACAACTATGGATGTATTCAGTAGTTAAATTCTAAATTCGTATCATGATGTAGTATTTGTATCAACCATTAAATGCTTCATATGTATTTGGTTGTTTCTACCATATCCAAAAACATAAAATACAGTGTGTCTTTACAGCCTTCTCCTATTTTTATGTCCATGTTGATTTATAACTACTGGAGTACATTTTGTACGTATTCAGAATCTCCTGTTTCACAAAGTAAAGTAAATCTTAGTAATTATTCTATAAGATTACTCGAAAAAGTTGTAAAACAAATATTCGATTATCCGTAAATATGGTTTTTCTTAATTTTTGTAAAACTTAAGTGATTTTCATTAAAAATTGTAAGAATTACCAGTGTAATTTCACTCACTGATAAATTGTTTCAGTAATACCCTTAATATAGTTGCTTTTACACCTACCAATGTATTGACAGTACATTTTTTCGTATCATTATTATTAATCCAGCAATCAGATTCCTGCGTAAAAGTTCTTAAACGTGGTGAATGTGAACCTTGGTGGACCAATTGGTCATCGTGGTCTAAATGTACAACTTGTGGATTCACTGAAAAACGTCGTTTCCGCTTTTGTACAGGAGCTTTAAATTATAATAGTTACAAATTTAAGGTAAAAGATTCAATTTCAAAATCTTGTGCATCTGTCAAAAGAATACATGAAGGAGTTGAAAAAGTCTCTTGTCCTGTGAGTCGCCTATGTTCAGCTATTAATGGTGGTTGGGGTCAATGGAGTGAATTCACTGAATGTTCTGTTACATGTGGCATAGGAAAACGTGTTCGACGTCGTCACTGTGATCATCCCAAACCACAAGGTGGATTATACTGCCAAGGAGCTGACCACCAAGAGGTAATTAATCATTTTTCTCAATTATATCACTTTCATTCCAAATGAACTAACTGTTGTCAATTTTGTAAGTGATATAGTACATTACGATCAGAAGAGGCTATTGTCTACAAAATGTAATGTAGTTACCACAATTAAATACACTGACAAAATTTAATATTCTAAAATTCTGTTATAGTATTTTGCAAATCAGTATCATGTTAATTTTAACAACATTGATCAACATGTAGAATTCATTCACTATCCTACACAGAATCCAACTCAGGACAAGTTTAGCTCATGTGAGGGGTCTGTTAGTATTAGGCCAATGGTCAAAATCCAATGGTTTACTCTTTTAACGTCACCCATTTCACACCAGCAGGGCGCTTGGTACCTGTGTGATTGCGTCACAGGAGCGAACTGTATTCTTCATATTATAACGTTAAAGCCTATATGGTATCTGGTTCTCCTGTGAAGCGGGATTCAGCTGTACTGCTCGGGTTGAGCTGTACTGTTTGGGTTGTCACGTGAAAGTCTGGATGGCGTTCGTTTCTCCTGGAAACCAATGTAAAATTACCCTGGCCCACAAACGTAACTAACTGTGAATTTTGCTCCATAGAGTAAAAGTTATCAAATGTCATTGGTGAAGTTTTTTTTTTCGAAAAATCAGTTATATAAGGAACAAAATGAATAGGATTTACTTCCATAAAATCTCAAATAGAATATTGGTTAATTCAACTAACTCTATACTTTTTAACCACATAGACTGTTATCCGATTCTATCTTTAATGGTTTTCTATGTATATCTAATATTGCATTCAAGCTCTTTGCGAGTAAACTAAACCATCCACGTAGAAGAAGCGTAAGTAGATGAATAATGTTAAACGTTCAGTGCATCCAACTTAATGTAATTAAAATAGTGTTAATTGAATCAACTAATAATTGCTAGAAAAACTAAACAACTTAGAACAATTAGTTTTTTCGATAAATTCGGATAACATAATATGAAGATGATTCCCAAAGATCTGAAAATCTGAGTCCTCTTAAATAAATAATTTAGATATTTTCTGAACACACAATATATATCCATAACAATCTAGTCTCCATATTATAAATCACTTCAAGTTGACAGATTATGAAGTACTGCATATATATTTCGACCTTATTCAGCTGTGAGCTTTCTTTTTGTCCTTTTAAAGTGTAACGTCAACATTTCATACTACTTATTTCCATGATAACATTACTAAAGTTATCTGTGAACTAATGCAGATGGATGCAACTGACTCACCTAGTTCGAAGGACGTAGTGCTACTTAAACTAACTAAACATAACATTACTCCTGATATCTATACTGTGTTAACATGATTTTTATTATAGTGATAACAATCCATCATGTTACAATATTACTTGTTTTTACTAAGATATCTTACTGATATGAAACCCTCAAACCTTTACTTTTAATATCTATAGGTGTATCGTAGTGATTGAAAAATTTCAAAGCGATCATAAAATTTATTTACGTACAATACTGATACATTCAATAAAAGTTCCCGTATATATACATTACTGAGTGCCTTGAATAAAGCACATTAGTTTACAACTGTAAAAAAAAGATAAGAAAATTATTTAAGTTTTACTATGCTTTCCATGCATTAAATAGAGTTCTTTTGGATTTTTTTCATCAGAAATTTTCGTTTTAGTATAGAAATTCTTATAAACAGGTATTCTGTGAAGGTTATTTACCGTGCCCACGAGCAGGACAGTGGTGCTCTTGGTCACCATTCATTCAACACTGCACACGTAATTGTGGACCACGTGGGATGGGATTACGATTGCGCCAGTGTGCTTGCCCGAAACCGTCGCAAGATGGTGCTGACTGTGAAATACCACCAGAAACAGCAGAAATGGCAGTTAATCTATCAGATAATAACAGTACTGACGCTCCAACGGGATCTGCACTTGAAGCAATACTTAAAGGTGAAGGATTATGGGAGCCATGCAACCGTCATCATTGTTCATATTTAAAAACATTAAACACTGAAGAAGATTTATTATTATTAGAGGATTTAAATCTTCAAAGAGCAGAAGATACCTGGATATCATCAGGTGGTCTACCACAGAGAATTCATGGTCCGTTAAAGCTTTTCTGTCCATCATCACGTAATTCTCGTAAGAAAATCTTCGATAAATCTGAACGCTTTCCAAAGTCCAAGTCTTACTGGACTCGTTCAATTCCCACTTCTTCAAAAGAACCATATTATATTCCGGGAGTACCAATAGTAAATTCAAATCTATTTATCGTTGAAAATGATCACTTGACTATTCATAGTTTAGACCCATCGACTATGGGAATTTATCGATTCGGTTACGAATATGAACCTGGCTATTTCGAAACAATTTGCTTTTTTCCTGTTTATATTCATCAATGGCAACAAGTATGTGATTACAATGAGTCTAATTTGAAGCTCGAAAGTAACTGAACTCAAAGTAATATATTTTTATCAGTACGGGGGACTTGTGGAGATAGTAGTATTTTCATGGTTGAAATCAGGAGTCGATCTAATCTAAACCACCACTAAAAAACTATGGGCATCGGACGGCCTTTACATCCTAGTATTAGACTCTTCAGCAATGCACACCATTATCCTATACGCAAGACTCAGACCCAGGGCGTTTGGTCCCAGACGCAATCACTGAGTCGGCCTCCAACGGTGTCGAAGTCTAACTTGAATCAATCTTGGATGCGCACTGCTGAAAAGTCCCATACTAGAAAGAAGCGGCCGTTCAGTACTTTAAGATTTTCAATGGTGGTCTAGCTTAGATCGACTTATAATATATTTTCATTCAAACAATTAATAAGTGAATCGTATTTTTTAAAGTAACAATGAATTTCGAGCTTAGATTTGATTAACAATAACATGTTGATAAAAAAATAACGCAGTTTCATGAGATAAAGTAACCTAACAACAACTTGACTCATAATAAAGATGAAATATATGTTGAATCATTAAAAAAAAAACTTTCAAACTGTTCAGTTTATTAGGAAATATTTCAGGCAACTCGTCTATTTTATTATAATTACCCTGTGTAATTGACTAAATACGGGGTTAATTAACACTAATCGAATATCGTTTGAAATAAATTATTAGCACAGCGAAATGACCAAAGTATTGATAATCATTATGTTCAATATATTTTTGTCAGCTCTGGAATATAGGACTCACGTTTCGTATTATTGAAAGAGGTTTTCGTATTTTTTTTAAACTAAATATACTACTTTATTTGAAAATAAATAGAACAACACTTTTTGTAAAATTATGTGTTTAGGTATTATCTCATGGAGTAACATTTGACTTAGTTTGTAATTCATTGGGATTATGGCCTATTATAAGTAAATCTACCACAACAAAATGGTTCGTTTATTGGAACGTGACTTTATTGGAAAAACAAAAGCAGAATGATATAAAAAAGCATAAATTGTGGTGGTATACAGAACTGAAAAATTCTCATATCAGTAAACATGAAGTAAATAATTCATTTGACAATCAAACTGATAATCCATCAATTTTTGGAACACAATTCACATTATGGGATGCAGAATATAGGAGACTGCATGATACTGTGAAAACAATGACAGGATATTATGAATGTCATATATCTAATCAACTTAATTCTACATATAATCGAACATTTATCACGCAATCAATTCATCTTATAATAAAATCACCTCCAAATATATGGACTTTAGTAAGTGATAAAAGTTTATTTTCATGATAAGAGATTTTTATACACTTGAAGTGTATTTGTTTTATTAACGTCTTTACCAAGAAATATCACCATACTGACGTCTAAGCAAACAGTTCCACCTTATCCTTACAGCTTCAAAATAAGAATGTCAACCAATCTCTTACTGAACCATAGTAGTTACTAGATTATTCGGTCTTAAACTTGTTGTTAATCGAAAAGACTAGTATTTTTCTGTAATTGATATCTAATCAGTATTTATGCATCCATTTAAAGTTCATCTGTTGACAGGAACTTATTTATTTAGGTCGTTGGTTGTGAAGTTTGATTTGACTCTGAGGTAGTTTTTGTCTCATATTGACTTAACATTCTGGCGTTCATTGGGATTATACATTCTTCCATAGAAGTTAACTGAATAGAGTTCGTCTTCCATGATGAATATGAAAAAAGATCATTTAATGAGTTATCATTCCAAAGGACGCTTTTAGTAATGATATACTGCTTGGTATAGACATTTACTGAATGGTTCAAGCGTTTCCTGGATAAGGGCTAATGTTTACCAGAGATGAATTCAAGATATTTTTGACTGCAGAGTAAGTCAACGCTTCTCCATGAATAGCTAACAACCATATTATTCGATACACTTAGGCACCTCTGAAATTATCCCTCTTAGTTTACTTTCTGAACTTCGCGTTATTATAAAATCGTCTAGATATGTCGAGGCTTCAGCACTCCTAGATATCATAGAGTTCTTAGTCTGTTAATGACGAGGTACAGGTTGCCACAAACTGATTTAATGTCGTTCCCTATAGGCTATGTTTGTCAGATTCCATCAAATTAATCGACTACGGAGATGTCAATTTCTAATCTAACAGATTAAATATCCACAGTTAGGTAGCTTCGGATGTTTATGGCTAAAAGCTATCTCATAAGGAATAAATAATTTAAATCTAAATATGTTGATAAAAAAATAACTCGACATAATTAATAATGAGAATCATTATGGACACAAAGTAACCGAAAACAATGATGTGGATTATCCTAGATATAGTTTTTACCATTATATGATATACAATTAAAACTTTTAAACAGATAGATGATTCAATTCCCTCAAAATCTCAAGATTGAATAAAATGTTCATCAGACAAGGAAAACATAAAATTGAGGCGTAGAAACCTACACTAACAAGCATCTTTATACTTCCAGCTTTTGATAACATAAACAAGATTACTAAATAATCACAAAAATTACATGCATATGACTCTTCTTACAAATATGAACCAAGGTAAAAATAAAAAAGATAATAGATGAATTTATTGAATTTCCTTAAGTTACGTTTTTAACAGAACAGCGAGACTATAATTTATGGACGAACCAACCAGATTTAGGATAAAAGGGTTCTGGCGCGAAATTCATTCATCCATTTGTTTAAATAGCGTTTTGGAATTTTAGCTGATGTCAGTTCATGATGAAAACCCTAAATCTAATTTCTAACCCTAACCATCAACTGATAATTATTATCTTATTTCCTCACACTGGTTTACAACCCTCATTTAGCCCTAGTAAGTAGGTGAACATTCTCAAGGTCACATTGCCGTAACTTAAAGGTTGTCAATAAATTATAGTCTCACCGAAACATTCATCATAAAACACTAAAGAGTGAGATAAAGACATTATTTGTAAATTTTTATTTAAAGGTATGAAAATAAAAATACAATAAAAAGTGTACAAATCGAAAAGTAATTACGTAAATATCAAAGGGCATTATGTAATATTTGAAACTTAAATCCTATCAGTGAGCGAATAAACCTACCTACCTACGTTACCGTTACAAATCTGTAATTACTCTGGATCTTTTAAAAAAAAGCGGCTTATTTATTAAGTACAGGATTATACAAATCAGCTTCAAAATGTTTTTGAGTGAAAGCTAGTTATATCGACTAGTTCGAATTGAAGTAAGGCGAAGTCAGGAAATTGCGACCTACTGACTGAAAGTCGAGTACTTTAGCCACTACTTAACCACTCTTCTATCCGACACCTGATGTTGACTCAGTGGCATTAATTTATGACTATATTACTATAGTATCAATATTATTAATAATAATCCAAAATTACAGAGTTAATGTTGTAAAATGTAACAAATTAACTGGTAAACAACAATGTTTTTTCATTCCTAATGGAAATACATTGAATCATCAATTCACATGCAACTGATCCTTATATTCCATAGTGATCAAACACTTCATCAAATCCTTCTTAATCATTTCATCAGTAAGATTAATATCATTATTATACTTTAGAAAAGATTTTAAAACTCAAATGACATTATACAATGTAGAGAGAAAAAACACATTTAAATACTGTTTATTATTAGTTTTCTAATATTTGTTTTCTGTAAGGTGAAAGACTGGTGTTTACAGCATCAAATAAATTTAATAATATTATTTTTGATAAGTATAATAACAAGTCTTTCATATGCAACTTATATATGGATAATAGCCAAAAAATTATCAAAACTAGAAATTCAAATGAATGAAACAAGAAAGCATAGACAAAGTACCAATTTCGATGACATTCACGTTATCAACTAGTTTCGGCTATTTGGTAACAAACATGCTTTAATGCAATCGATATGAATTCAATTTGACTGAGTTTGTATGAAAGTAACACTTCAAGAGAAATTATACTGCATAGATAATGTAACAACTGGAGTGCTAAATAAACTATTATCATGAAAGACAATATTAAAATGTACAAATTCGTTAATACATTATTTGTTTACATAGAAAATGAAATTTTCTTTACAAAAATAAACTTGAAAATAAAAATTATTCCGTTATGTAACCTTTGTTCTTATTTTACTCGTTACTTACTGAGTTGGACGATAAAATTATTAACATTTTAAATTTCTATTAATATAGTACCCATAAATACTTTGTTGAATGTTTCACTATAAATTTTCATTTTGATTTAATTAAGATTATGCATTATTCTCAAGAAGACAGGCCATTTCAACTAATCAAAACAAACATGAAATAACTTATTTTAAACTATTATGTATTATGGAAATATTTAGCTGAAGTGATGGGTGTTTTTAATTGTTTTACGCCCTTGAAAATAGTTTTTATTGACAAGCCTTAATTGTCGTTTTGGACATCATCGATTTTATATTGCTATATCAGATAACAATGTTATTTATTAATGGAAATAAATGATGCTATTAAAACACGAAAATTCATTTATTAAGAATAAAGTTTCAACGACAATTACGTAAGTGAAACAATGAATTTCATTACTAGTACATGTGAACCATGAGAATGGAATAACGATATAAAACAGAAAAAGTTATTCTAACAAAGAACCATTGAGTGAGAAAATGAATCTCTAAAAGGAAATAAAAAGCTCCGTTCAACTGGTAACATGAGCTCGAAACACTACTCGCACCTTCATGAAGTAAGTAGACCATTGATTTCGATTCCTAACAGTTCACATCCCACAAGTCAACTCTATTATTTAGCAGTAATTATCATACCATCAAAGTACGTTCTGAAACTTCTGAAGAAAACTGAATACCGACTTTGATTCATTATTAAGTAAACAACACTGAGTGACAATAACTTGTACTGATTTAGTGTGGATCCGTTCAATCATGCACAATATATTCAATACGCTTATCTATTCAAGAAAGCTTAAATTTAACAATATTATCACATAGTCAAGATCTAATTATCACTAGTGAAGACATATCAGAGCATGAGTAGTGAACATAAGCCCTTTGATTCATAGTTTCATAGAAGTAAACTGTTTCCTGTTCGGGTCTACTGATTGGTTACTCTGTTGGGGAATCGAGGACCAATAAGTGTTAAAGTCTTGGGTGTTGTTCATTAGTCGGTGTGTCAGTTCGTGAACTAGGTCACCTTCCCTACTGGTCACATAGGTAAACTAATCGATAATCGGAATCCTAATTGGACAACATAACACGTGATATCCACTGGAATTTCAAATCACAATAGATAAGGCAACTAAGAAACAATAATCTGATCAGACGGAATAAAATTAGTTTGAAACGATTACGAAGTCTATTATATGAAAGCTTGAGGTAGTTGCTACGATTCTAAAAGTGATGAACATACAATCATTTTATCATACGATCAGCTTTAACTGTTTCATTCGCCTTCGTATAGTTTATGATCAACTTTTATCTTCTACCATGTTTCGAACGTGTTTTAAAAAATGTACAGAAAATATGTAAATTATCATCGTAAAACTAAGCTGCCCTTGTTACTTACTGAAATATCTACTATTTTCATAATATTCTGTTAGGATGATGGGGGGATATTGCAATGAAGACACCTTAGAAAAACTATCCCCGATACACGGACCCATGAACAAAGGGATGTATAGAACATACTATTTCAAGAAATTTATTTCTTATCAATAGACGTCTTAAGAATTGAATAACCAGCTAACTATGTATTTCTAAATTCAAACATATAAAAAGTGTTTATGAACCGACAAAATTAATGTTCTATTCCAGAACACTTATTGCCACAATCGAACAACTAGACAGAACGAGTATACTAAACTCACACAAAAATATGTGGAATTAAGTTAATAAATTTCACAAAATCGATATAAACGGGATGCCTTGAAAACCGACAACAGAAATATGATTCACGAGTAGAAAGTGACAAAACATACAAAACGTTACAGAAACAAACCACGTTAGATCACATAGTCAACAATTTTATTATATATATATATATATATATATATATATATATATATATATATATATATATATATATATATATATATATATATATATATATATATATATATATATAGGCTGAGACATCAGAATTTACAAACGAGACACACTATTGAAGGTAGTCGATTACGCCCGTAGTCAAAATCTAAGCCTTTGAGTGATTGTCTGAGTCAAATATATGCAGACTCATGGATTTGAGCGCACGTAATTCGAATTGCTAACCAAAGCTTTCTAGACATTTAATAGTTTTCTCACTCTTATTGGAAGTTGGTTAAACTTATAAGTAATGTGTGTATCGGTATCAGAATCGAACATGATGGGCTGTAACAAAACAATATGATTTCTCACTATCTTAAATTTACATTTGACAACTACATTAGAAACGGAATAAGAACATAAATAGTATTATTATTAGATTATATACAACAAAACTCTTTACAATATTTCAATGTACAATAATTAGATTACAAAAATCTTTAAATATTTGCTCCAATTGAATCATTTGGTGAAATAAGACTAGATTTATGAAGAAGCTTTTGATTAGTAGTAGTACTAATACTAAGAATACTACTACTAGGCGATTTACTTAACTGATTGACATTGCTAACATTTGGAGTCCAATAAAGACATGTAGAATCAATACAACGATCAGTAGCAGGAGGTTTAATTGTACTCAAAAGAGCGTCTACATCAGGCTAAAAAAATTATAAACAAAATAACCATAAGATAAAATATAAGACTAATTGTAACAAATTATTAACAGCATAAATGAAGTTCAATTAATGATCAGCAAATATAAATTTGGAATCTATGAATTCGTATAACAGTTTAATGATTAAAACAATCAACTTTTAGCTGTTAAATCTCAGGTGAAAACTCCGCTCAAACTACTTCCGTGTAGGCATTCGAGTAGTGTCATTAGTTTTTTTAATACTTAAGTGGCTGGTGGGTGAGTTAATTAACTCACTTTCTTACCATTTATGAGAACCACTAGAAATTATGTCATACCACAAGCAAAATTGTTTTATTCTAGTCAGTGACTCCATGGCAATTTTTTAAGTACGAACCCAAATAGAATAGAACCTACAATCTTTAGTTCTGTTAGAGAGTATGTAACTATTCCCACACTAAATTGGAAATCCAGAAATAGTATAGGTATAAGTACAATTCTGTTTTTATCCCAAGAAATAAATGAAAGACACTAACTACCACCGAGTCTAGATTAGCTGGTTGAGGTCTGTGTGATTATCGTAACCAGTGGTTCGACAATCCGAATGATATGGTTAAAAATCGTTCGCAATGACGTAGGCGAACTCACTTTTTTCCTTCTCTTAGATCCCAAGTTTTAAATTGCTTGTAATTTTCGTTAATCTTACTAATTAATATCCTCTCAAACGGTATCCTCGATACTTAATCCTCTTCGTTACTATCAATACTGTTAACGCTTTTAATACCCTGGGATTTGCACTGACAATTTTATCTCTCTTTACTAATAAGGTATGGCAAGTTAAACCGATGTACACATGCGCCAGATTCTATGTTGTGTTTGACTGGCTAGCTGACTATGAAGAGGGAGGTTGACTATGAATACAGTGGTCTTGAGTGCTGTTAGAGGTATGAGGGCGGCTATCACTTCCCGGTTGCCCACACCGTGGAAGGGTTCTGCTGGAGGTACCTGAAAAGGAAATTGGATTAAAGTTGGTCATAGTGACCTGAGAGCGTGACCGCAGTGCCCAAGGGATAGCTGCTTGAAGTCGGTCACACACGACCTTTTTATGAGTGATTTTTGTGTTAGCTCCGTACTTGTTGAGTCCTTACCACCGGAGACGGATATCCGTGGGATAAGGCGAGGTGTGCATTTTTAGGGTCGACCTTTTCTAACCCCACCCCTCCTTGTGGGAAGGCAGCATCGCTGTTATGCTGGTTGTCTGAAGGAAACACCTTACTGCTGTCACACCTCTGTACAGTCAGCAGTACGACTTCGCCTTCGGACCTTGGTTTTGTTGCTTTTAGTCTTACCGCTCTTCAACCGACCTGTCTGGCACGGCAAGACCTTGATGAACGGTTGTTCCAGCCAGTATAGCTCAGTTGCTTCATCACGATAGGCAAGCCCGACCACCACGTCAAGGTAGCAACAACGGTCAGGGCTAGCTGACTGCTACTATTACTAACTTTTCATCATTGAAAAACACAATATGCCAAAAACAAAAACAGTGAAAAATTCACTTACTTTATTATTGATTATGTAATATTGTGTCCGATAGCAAACAAGCATCTTCATATCTAATAAAGTGCTTACAATATCAGGAACTGCTATCCCTAATTCTTGACTCATAGCTGGAAAAAAGGTGGGTTCATCGTCATAATAATAATAACAATAGTTATAATAATAATAATTTATCTGAATGAAAACTCTTCAACAAAAACAAATTATAGGTTAGTTGAAGGGATTTCGTGGAAAACGGTGTAGCTTATAGGTTTTATTCACCACAAACTAATCTCATAGATCCGAAGTTCCTAAGGTTCGATCCCTAGAAGGGTTGTTGGTATGCAGTGCCCTACTAAGGTGAAAAAGTTGTTTGATGAACCCTGGTTTCAAATGTTACCCCAGCTGAGATCAATCTGTAATTAATACAACTTACAAAGTATAATTTATTTTAAATTAAAAATGTATTATTTATATAATATTTTCACTTAGCCGATTTATTTACACTATAAGGTGTGTTATAATCTTTCAGTGGGGAATTGCCAATGATCAATACGTGTAACAATAAGTCTACTTCGATTGTCAGTTAATAAAAACAATGAAATAATATTAAT